CGGAAATGCCTAAATTGGCACAAGTTGTAGCTCCACCAGAACGTAAACTGTGCAATCCATATTTTTTAATATCTGACACAAATGGTTGAAAAGCTCCAATAAATAATTCTCTCATACGTGTATAAGACAGTGGTTTGTTATCCTTCCGAAGTACATATCGATCCTTGAATTTTGTTAAATTTCTAAAAATAAATTCATCTGAATCCGGCGAAATATCAGCCCACAACAAATATAACTTTAAATTCTTTACTGGACAAATATCGGAATCCATACAGGCTATTACTACAGAATTGCCATCACGATAAATATCAGTTTTACTTTTCGGAATAAATATAGATACATAACCTAATTCAAACTTGATATCACATATGCGTATATTTAATAGCTCGGACACTCTCAAAAATCCAGAATAAGCAAGTAAACACGCGCAAATAATATGCTGTGACATAACATTGTATTCCTTGAATAATGAACTATACATTTTAGTTAGAAGCTCAGGAGTAACTGGTTCCTTTTTCTCAGTTCGTGTAGCTAAGCGCCGTTTTGCACCTTCTAAAACATTTTTCACAACTAAATTTTCGGTAGGAGACGTTTGACCAATCATATGATATGCCCATTGTATACTATAAAATGCTGAAATAACCGGACTAGCAGTGTTACTGTTATGAACTAATGAAGATAAATATAGTGCAACGTGCAAAGGTTTTGCCGGTAAAATATCACAACCATCTATACCGTTATGAACGGCCCACTTTTTCCAACGGATAAATCCTGCATGATAAGTTTTAACGGTACTGTCAGCTTTAGATTCACAAAGTAAATCCATAAGAACATCAACATTGGTATGCAGAGTTGATGGCAAAGAATTAATCTCAGATTCATAAGCCTGCAAAAACACATGTATAAACAATAATTAAACAATAATAGCATCTTAAATGATGGAAACTACCAACAGAAAAATACTTGTTAGTATATCTCACAAGACTATGCACAATAGTCTTAAATGCTTAACATAAGCATTTGTATTTGTTAGTATATTAGTTCTCAACAAGGCCAATTATAGCCTTAATGCCAAAATCTGAAACCAATTCAGTTATGCATTGTAACGTTAGTACACAAACAAGGCACTAAAACAGCCTTTAAAATATCTTCTTATATCTATTTAAAATATCATCTGTAAAATTCAGATAAGCATAAACAGCTTCATAAGCAAAATAGGTTTACAATCTTCATACATATCAGTATTATTTTCTGAAATCTAGCCTCAAAGCTAACATCTTAAAAGTAAGATCAGTATTACCAAAAATGGCCTTCTTGCTTTTACCAGGAGTATAAAACTCCTTACCGCTTGGTAATTCTACATGTGCAATAACTTGATCTGTAAAATCGCCCCCATTTGGGCATAGCATAGGCCAATAACTTGCGGATGGCCAACAAGGAACAATCAATGTACCTACAGCGTTGCATTGTCTCATGTAATTAATAACACGTGGTATAAGAAATACAGGCGGTACAAAAAGACCGTTAACCCCAAACCAATTAACTGTGAAAGCATCAATACCAGAAGAATTTTCATTCCAAAATCTTGAATAAAATACCAGTAACTTGAAATTGTGGTCAGAAGCAAACCAATCTACTTCATGAGGTCCCCATAAAGCTTCTATCAATTGAAATATATAATATGATATACCCCAATCATCATGATCAACGATGCGACTCAAAAAGTCAGCTTTTTCGTTTAGTGTCCTAGGTATCCAAACTATATCAATATTGACATTGTACTTCAAACATGCGCTAAATATGTCCAACGCTAAATTTTGTAAAATAGTTTTTGTACTGCCCTTGCTAACAATGCTCACAACATTCTGGTTATCTGTAAACCATTTGACCTTTTTTCCAGATATAAAATTAATTAATGACAGCAAAACTTTCTTAACCGCTGAAAGTTCCTTCCAAGTTGAACTATTACTACGTTCTGATTCAACCCACATACCATGTGCAATGCTTTGTGGTGTTTCTACAATATAACCTCCAAAGCCTGTATCACTAGCGTCACTATAGATAATACTATGACATGATTCATCAACACTAAAATGTTTTACATTAACTTCACTAATATACAGTTTCCAGAATTGTAACTGTTCAATACTGGATTCAGAAAGTTTAATATAAGAATACCAAGACGCAGATGTGTTCACGTCTATAGTTAAATGTTTAGTCATTAAATAAACTAAATTTCCAATAACTAAGTATGTAGATATTATCTGACCTACAACAGATGCAACTTTTTTCACGTACACGCTTTTAGGCCCAGTTAAACAAGATATAATGTCATCAATAGAATGTATCATCTTATCTATTCTGTTATCTGGTATTTTATAAAAGCCATACTCTGTATCAATAAATGTTCCTAACCAAACCAGACGTTTAGTAGGTTCCCACAATGATTTTTCGGCCTTAGGTACAAAGCCACTTTTAACTAAATCTAGCTTAACTTGTTCTGACACAATCTTACACATATCTTTACCTTGTTCAATACCTAACCCATCATCAAGATACATAATGACTTGTTTACCTTCAGATCCCCATTTCTTTACAAGCGGCCTAGTCAGTTTAGTAAAAAGAAAACAAGCTGTACTTAATCCAAATGGTAAAACAAGAAATTTGAAAAATGTAGGACATCCATTAATGGTCCATGAAAAACCTAAATACTCTGTGTGGGGTTCAAAAATATCAACATGGTGATAAGCTGAGTGAACATCAAACTTAAACATAGAATAGTTCAATTTAATATGCTGTTGAGCAGTTCTCATATCCTCAAATTTAACGCTCTGTTTCCATAAATGTTAATTAACCGCTCTCAAATCAAGTATCAATCTTTTCTTTGAATTAGATTGAACTGATACAGTAAGAGGATTAACAACGAAAGGTCGCTTATCACACTGAACTATCAAACCTCTATGTAATAAATCCTGAATAGCTGTATGCACAAAATCGGAATTTTTTAAAGCTGATACATTGTTATATAAATACGTAGACGGAGGAATAGAATAAAATGGTAACTTATAACCATCTCTTATAGTGTCAATAATATAATCATAAGCACCAATATTTATCCAAAATTGGATATTTTCCTTCAGCCTACCCTTAACAATTATATCAGTACCATCTTGCTCATATTGGAAATAATCATGTGTAAAAGTTGGTTCAGACAAATTTTCTAAAGAAATTGTGTCAAAATTATACTCATCTTTTACAAAACTAGTTTCTTTTGAGTGATGCTGCTGTCTTGTTGTTTTGGAAGGGGCAGTTAACTCTCCAGTGCTTGTACGACCCACAGTTGAAGCATGGTCCCCGTTGAGATTTTCCAGCATACTGGTCTTGGGCATACGGGAAACTTCCATACCAAGACGGCTGGCCCCCTCGAAAAGGCTGTTGAGGATTAAAGCTAGGGTTGGCGGTGGAAGGAACCTGCTGTTGTTTAGGAGCTGGTTTGCTCTTTGCCTTTTTCTTCCTAATGGCCCTGTTTTCAGCTCTGATTATCTTGGACTCGTCTTCTGAATCGCTAGCAATTGGGTTTGCCTCGTACTGGCGAGCAGTGTCCCATCCCCCATCAGAAGTGTCCGCGATCTTTATTAACTTATTTCTTTGTTTAAGCCTATCGGTGCATGATGCAATAATGTCTCTGGCATAGTCAACTTTGCCATTGTCAATAGCCCACAGAGCCTGGGTTAAATCTTCTAAATTTTCGGTATTACCATTGAACTGAATTTTATTACCTTCAGAACGCCATTTATACTGGGAGTCCGACTTCAACTTCTTGACTTGAATTTTCATACATTGGTTTGTTCCGTGGATTTCGTCGCGCAAACTATTAATCTTTTCGCTGATTTTGGTGTCCACAAGAACTTCAATATCCTGCTTTTGACGATTAACTGCGTCTAAAACTGTACGCAAAGATATTTCTTCAGAGGGTGTATCTGAATCCATGTTTGGTATTAACTGGGAAACACGTCTAATCGAATCCGCCCTGTCGTGCTGAATGGTTATATCCCATGAAGCGCGGGAATATAAATAATGGTCTATGGGCAGACAACTAGAAGAAATTAATTTCAATCTAATTCAGTTCCTTCAAACGGTTGAAATTACATGTTATATTTCTTTATTATTGCGAACCCAATGAAAGTTTTCCACAGTGCCATCTCTATCTTGACCAGGTATTTAAACTTTTGCAAGTTCACCTGTCCTATTGAATAGATACAATAGCTATTGTTCTCTGTGTAGTTTATTCTCTGGGACCTTTAAATTTCTTCTAAGAGAAATCTATCATTCATTGATTAAATTACCTGAGTAAAAAAAATTTCTTATATATAGACAAAAATACTGTTTTTATACTCGTTAACTGCGTGTGATGATGTAGTTATTCAATATTATTAATATATTTTCATTCAGTTTAATATAAACATTGATTCAATCATAAAAATTTGATTTCTGACAAAACTTTCAACATTGTTCCTTTTAAAAAAAAATTTGTTTGACATGAATAAGAACTTGAAAATAATGATGTTTCAAATTAAGATCTTCTTAAATGTATTCTATAACTAAACAAAAAAAAATCAAATTTCAATAGGAACATTGATAAAACTTTTGTTAGAAATCAACTTTTTATGATTGAATCAATGTTTATATTAAACTGAATGAAAATATATTATAAATATTGAATAAATACATCAGCACACGCAATTAATGAGTATAAAAAAAGTATTTTTGTCTATATATAAGAATTTTTTTTTACACAGGTAATTTAATCAATGAATGATAGATTTCTCTTAGAAGAAATTTAAAGGTCCCAGTGAATAAACTACACAGAGAAAAATAGCTATTGTATTCATTCAATAGGACAGGTGAACTTGCAAAAGTTTAAATACATGGTCAAGATAGAGATGGCACTGTGGAAAACTTTCATTGGGTTCGCAATAATACTATTTTATAAATCCTACCTCTGGTGTCAGACCAACTTTTGCCTGGCGTCCCACACCCAATAAATCAAAAATGATTTCCTTCATAGCAAAATCTATTCTCTCCTACAAAATAAAGAAAAAATACATCATCAATGTCATAACATGATTAGTGGATTTTTTGTAATGGAAAATGACATTTAATTAATGTTAACAAATTTACTACTTTTCTTTGTATGAGTGTTGTATACAAGAATCCTTGTAAGCTAATTTTCTTGCAGTGATCAATTCTAATCTTATCTAAAAATAATAAAATGCTCCGCTGGACGCAGCTTGATACGACAGCAGAGGTTGAACCCTGAACAGTTGGAGCAAGTATGGACACAACATTCAAGCTTGATACAGCACTGAATTTGGATTGTGATTAAATATTTGACACAGCATAGGTTTCTGACACAGAATGAATGTGGTCTAAGAACTTAAAAATTTTTGATTTACCTTTTCAAACCATATCATTATTATTTGCTTTTATATATAAATCAGAAATAACCAATTTAAAATGGAAAATTTTAAAGAAAAAAAGGGGGAAAAAAATCCCCCCCCCAAATTTTTTGAACCCCCTTATGATTCATCACCCCCAAACTCAATCCCAGCCTTCCCTTTATGGTATGGTACCTTGCAGTACAATTTCAGAGAGATCCATACACTTGAACACAAGTTATTCTCTGGAAACTAGAAAAATGATGATTTTTGGCCCCTTTTTGGCCCCTTATTCCTAAACGTTTTGGGCAATTACCCCCAAACTCAATTCCAGCTTTCCCTTTGTGATATGGAACCTTGTAGTACAATTTCAGAAAGATCCATACACTTACACACAAGTTATTGTCATGAAACTAGAAAATGCTTGTTTTTTGCCCCTTTTTTGGCCTCTAATTCTTAAAATTTTGAGGCAATTACCCCCAAAATCAATCCCAACATTCCATTTGTGATATGGAACCTTGTGGTACAATGTCAGAGAGATCCATACACTAACACACAAGTTATGTCTGGAAGTTACAAAAATGCTTATTTTTGGCCCTTAATTCCTTAACTGTTGGTACCATAACCCCCAAAATCAATCCCAACCTTCCTTTTGTGGTATTGAACCTTATGGTAAAATTTCATAGAGATCCATTCACTTAAACTAAAGTTAGAGTGCGAAAACCAATGTGTCTTCGGACGACGACGACGCCAATGTCATACCAATATACGACCGCAAAATTTTTTTGCTGTCGTATAAAAACTTATTGGAAATGGACCTAATCATGAAAACTTAACCTAGACAGACAGGAATACCTTTCAATCATTCCATACGCCAAATATAGTTCATCTACTGCTTATGTATAGAAACACAGATCTAATCATGAAAACTTAATGTTGATGACAGATCAATGAAATCAGGTAAAGGTCAAGTGAACCCTGTCTGACAAACATGTCAGAGGTTGACTTCCGGTTCTGCCAAGATGGCATGGCTAAATTTTGCTCTCCTTTTTATAAGTATTTTAACTCGATTTTATCCACCTATAGACCATTACTATGAGCAAGTACTTGTTAAAGCTGAAGATCTAGGATACTATGCCAGTACGAACATAGAACATTTGAAAATTAATGACTTATCAGTTGAAAATCTGATGCAAAAAAGTTTACAGAAAATAAAAAATGGCGGCCTCCATGCCCGAAATGGAAAAGCACTTTTTTCTCTTATAAACATTCTGGTATGTGGTGTCATAGCTTCCAATCCTGGCCCAGCGAAATACCGATGAGGGAGCTGTACAAAGCTGGTTCGTTCCAACAAGAAAGCAATAATGTGTGACTAATGTGATCTATGGTTCAACATTAAATGCATGAACATTACTGTAAAAACATACAACATCTTATCTGAAAGTAATGATGAATGGTATTGTTCGAAATGTCAATTACCAAATTTTTCAGACTCTTTTTCAAGGATGATGACCAATATCAACATGATGGTAACAGTTGTGACCCAGTGTCAGTGAGTTCTGCCGAAGCTCCAAAAAATGACAATTTATATTCTGATGAAGTCTTTAAATGTTTCCAGAAGGGAATGCACTTTATCCACCTGAATGCCCGCTCATTACTTACAAAAATTCCAGAACTACAGACTATTGCGTTTAAAAAAATGCACTCCGTCTGGAGCAGCTGGATACGACCGCAGAGGTCAAACTCTGAAAAGCTGGGGCAAGTATGGACACAATATTCAAGCTTGATACAGCTCTGAATTTGGATAGTGATTAAATATTTGACACATTATAGATTTCTGACACAGAATAAATGTGGTCAAAGAACTTAAAAATTTGAAATGGGACATTTAATCTTCTAAATGGTCCAATATCCAAAATCTAATTCCATGGTTAGATTCAGCATATAAAAAAAACCATGAAATCAAACAAACAAAAAGTTTAATTTTGGACCCTTTGGACCTTAATATGGACTAATTTGAAAACAGGGCCCAAAATTAAAAATCTGAATGCACAGTTAGATTCAGCATTTCATAGAACCACAAGAATTCAGTTTTTGATGAAATCAAACAAAGTCTAATTTTGGACCCTTTGGACCTCAATGTAGACCTATTTAAAAATGGGGCCCCAATATCCAATATAGTAATACACGGTAAGAACCCCCAACAATTCAAGACTTTAAATTAATCCTCATTGAAATTGGTTAAAAGATTTGTATTTATTTTCAATTGAAGATTTCTTGCTGTTGTGCAATACTTTGCTGTTGCGCAATACATAGTAAATCTGTTTACAATCTATATACTGTAAATTCAGAAATTATTGCGAGGTTTTTATTAATGCGAATAATGTGGCTGGATATGTATCGCAATAATAAGAAGTCGCATTTTCGTCCATTTTTCAAAAATTGCAATAATAAATGCATGCAATAATTTCTGAATTTACAGTATAACAAGCATTCTGAGAGTATTGCATAGCAATACATAGTCCCCTACCGGTTAAAAATTCATTTCACTGGAACAAAATGCTAATTTGATCTATAACTTGTCATGGTGTAAACTATATAACAAATATCAAGTCAATATCTTCAAGCATGAGGATAAAAAGTGTGGAAAACTGATTATTTAAGTAAATTTTCTAAGTCCAAGGACCATAACTCTACACAAAATCATCAGACCGGAACAAAATTCAAACTAGATCTGTAACTTGTCATGATAAAACTATATACCAATTATCAAATCAATATCTTTAAGCATGACGAAAAAAAGTGCAGAAAACTGATTATTTGAGTGAATTTTCTAAGTCGCAGGACCATAACTCTGCACAAAATCATCAGACCGGAACAAAATTCAAACTTGATCTGTAACTTGTCATGATAAAACTATATACCAATTATCAAATCAATATCTTCAAGCATGACGAAAAAAAGTGCGGAAAACTGATTATTTGAGTGAATTTTCTAAGTCCAAGGACCATAACTCTGCACAAAATCATCAGACTGGAACATAATTCGAACTTGATCTGTAACTTGTCATGATAAAACAATACACCAAATATCAAATCAATATCTTCAAGCATGAAGAAAAAAAGTGTGGAAAACTGATTTGCCGGACAGGCGGATGGACAGACAGACAGACAGATGGACGGAGTGCAAACCTAAAGCCCCCTTCAACTTTGTCGGTAGGGGACTAATAATTTAAACACCCTGTTTGGTGTGTATCTCCTGCCATATCAGTATTTGTTGTTTCTTTATATAGATCAGAAATAATTTATGTTAGAACCAGCTTAGCCAGTATAAGAAAAGTCTTGTTTTTGGCCCCTATTTGGCCTCTAGTTTCTTAACGATTAAAGCCATAACCCCCAAAATGACCCCAACCTTCCGTGTGTGGTATGGAACCTTGTGGTATAATTTCATAGAGATCCATCAACTAATACTTAAGTAATTGTCTGGAAACCAGAAAAACCTTGTTTCCCCCCTTTTTTGTCCCCTTATTCCTGAACAGTTTAAGCCATAACCGCCAAAGTCAAACCCAACCTTCCCTTTGTGGCATGGAACCTTGTGGTTCAATTTCATAGAGATCCATAGACTAATACTTAAGTAATTGTACATTAACCAGAAAAACCTTGTTTTTTCCCCCTTTTTTTGCCCCTAATTTCTGAACGGTTTGGGCCATAACCCCCAAAGTCAATCCCAACCTTCCCTTTGTGGTATGGAACCTTGTGGTACAATTTCAGAGAGATCCATACACTTATACACAATTTATTGTCCAGAAACTAGAATAAACTGCTTCAATGAGCGCAGCTGGATACACCCGCAGAGGTCCAACCCTGACATTAGGGGTAAAAATGGACACAATATTCAAGCTTGATACAGGTCTAAATTTGGATTGTAATTAAATATTTGACATATTATAGGTTTCTGAATAAATGTAGTCAAAGAACTTGAAATTGGTTATATGAATTGAATTTATATTCAATTAAAGATTTCTTGCTGTTGTGCAATACACTGTGCTGTTGCGCAATACTTAGTAAATCTGTTGTCAGACTATAAACAAATAAAGTTCAATTAATTCTCAATGTCATATTAGAAATTTATGAAAATGTAAAGGGAGCTTACATCAATAGATATAAACAATTCACCAATTTTTCATGAGAATTGCTGACAGCATTTTTGAGTTATTGTCCAAAAACTGGAAAATCCCCCCTTTTTTAATGAATAAAACCCCATAACTCAGAAATGATAAATGAAAAATTTATAAAATTCTAATCGGAGCTTACATCAATAGATATAAACAATTCACCAAAGTTTCATAAGAACTGCTGAAGTTATTGTCTGAAAACTGGAAAATCCCCCCTTTTTTAATGAATAAAACCCCATAACTCAGAAATGATAAATGAAAAATTTATAAAATTCTAAACAGAGCTTACATCAATAGATATAAACAATTCACCAAAGTTTCATAAGAACTGCTGAAAGCATTTTTGTTTTTTTTGTCCTGAAAACTGGAAAATCTCCCTTTTTTTATAAATAAAACCCTGTAACTCGGAAACGTAAAATCTAAAATTTATAAAAATCAAAAAGGAGCTTGTGTCAATAGATATAAACAATTC